TGTTTAATTGTGTGAAACGCCTTGTTTTGGTTGCATTAAATCAAGCTTAAATGTGCTTAAAACGTTTAGTTTAAGCAGGAGCGTACTATAAAACCATACTTAAACGAAGCCTAAACTCAAGGTTTTAGCTAAAAATAATCAATCTTAAATTTGCCCAAAACTTGATTTTTGAAGTCAAAGGACTCGAACTTGAATTGTTAATTGGACTTCAGAACTTACAGTTTAAACTAATTGGTTGGTTCCAGTGGGCTCAAGAATGGCACGGCCCTGATCATTTTGTCTGGTACTATTTTATGAGTTACTGCTCCCGAAAAGTTAAGTAGTTTTCAAAATCCTTTTGGAAAAATGAAATTAATCCATCCCTTTTAAGTCAATCCCTTTTCCTACACAATGAGGACAAGCAGTTTTTTCCGCTTTCAACTCACTTTATTTTATTTAATAGAGATGGTTACAATTCTTTTTTAACAAATTACTAAAACGAAATTCATTGGCCTTTGAAAATACAAAGTGCACATAATTTTTAGAAAACACTAAAACAGAAATCTAAATATATTTAACAGTAATAACGACAGCATAAAGAATTGTAATTGGCAATACATTTCTTATGGTTCAAAACTGTTCATTTCTTCTGGTAGTACCGGACACCTTTACAAGACAAACACCTCGGTAAGACGGACATCTAGAGTTGGTCCCTGCGTCTCTACTCTCTTTATTCGACAGACAGCTAGTTAGTAATGCCAGTCCCAAAGGTGTCTGTCTTATAGAGAGTTGACTTTATCATTATAAAATAAAGTCAAGACAAAAATACCTGTTTCTTATATTAAAAGGATATCTAAATCCATTTAAGGAAACACCAACAACAAAAAGCAAATGCCTCATAGGTTTGTTTGGTGGGCTATTAATGCTTGCCAAAGGAAACAAAACTTATGAAATAGCTGAACTGTGGATTGACTGCAAAAGAGCTAAATGTACATTTATCAATAATGCTACTAAAAAATTTGTAAAAAGCAAAAATCTGACATATAATATTTACACAATATGTATTGAATAATTATTATTGAGAGCTTGAAAATTTGGAAAAGTTTAAGTGTAATCAATGACTACAGCTTGCAGCTTGTTTTCTACAGTTAACCAAATATCAGTTGAACCTTGATTAATATCTCAAACAAACTTTTTGGTTATCCCATTCTTCTGATCCCAGATTTCTCAAATGAATATTGCAAACTCTCAAGCCTGATTTTCTTTCTTGAAGTCTCTTTGAAAATCAAAGTTAGTACTTATATGTGTTGTTCATCATATAAGCTACCCTATTAAGAAAGCCACAGTAGATGGCATTTTTGAAAGTCAACCTTGCAGATATCAATTTTTTTTATCATCCACACTCCTTTTTTTCCATTTAAATATTTAGTGCCGCCAGTCTTGCTGAGTCTGTATAAACAAGGTTCCACTCACTGACTTAAATTTTAAATAAATAGCCATATTTTACTAAGGACCAGGTTACTCAATGCTGGTTTATGCAAAATTTGAGTTGAGATAAGAAAGCCTATTATTGAGCAATGGCCTGTCTCACGGCCCATGATGGACCATCGGGTGCTGGCCTCTTTGATATATCACCCTCACACCGGGGCTTTGCCAATGCTTTGGCATGAGGGGTGAGGCTTCTATAATGGGCTCTGTCAAGCTTGCTTTTTAAGTTTGTCAGGGCTGTTCTCTCCCAAGAGAGCTTCTTGGTTAAATAACCCTTTAGTTTCTGTGTTACTTCACCAGTGATGGGATCTTCCTCATCTTCATAGGCAGACTCCTCACTGCTCATGTACTCGACATAGAGCACCTCTGGGGCAAGCTGCTTCTGGCTCGAGGATAAGGATTCTCTTATAAGCTCAAAAGCCCCGCATCGCCTGTCCAGCTTCTAATAAAAACATAAAGAAGGACAAAAATCAAACTAAATAATGGTGTTGCAGTCCTTCAATAATAAATATAATCTATCAATTCACAGGGTTCTCATTAAGTGCCGGCAGCCGGCTAAAAAACCGGCTACTTGGAGGTTTGAGCCGTCTACTTTTTGGGGAAATAGAGTAAAGTTAGAGAGTGAAAGCCTGAAATTGCCTACAGCACTCAGTTACCAAGCCGCCTACTTTAACATCCTAGCTGTCTACTTGAAAAATTAATGAGAACCCTGTCAATTATTCATGTTTGTAATAATGGAAATTGTTCAAAAAAGTAAAAAAAAAATAACTAAGGATAAAAGTGGCCTCACCCATATAATGCAGTTAAGATCAGAAAAAAAAATGTATCACTGACAATAAATATCATTATGACATTATAAACATATTATACATTAGGGCCATTTATACGAGGAAAAATAAGACGCGTCTTACATAAGACACGTCTTAAATAAGGCGCGAACTTTCTGTATAAATGGCACATTTCGTCTAAAATAAGACACGGCTTAGTTAAGACGCGTCTTATTAGATAAGAAATGCTCATATAAATGGTACAGTTCGCGTCTTATGTAAGACGCGTCTTATTTTTCCTCGTATAAATGGCCCTAATGTTTTTCATGAGGACATGAAAAACTGTCCAGTACATACAGGTGTCCCTATTAATGGGATACCACTGCATTTATAATTATCAAAAAAGTTTTTATATTTGACCATGTTCAGATGTTTGAAAAAAAAAACTTCCTTTTACTTACACTTGTGGGACGTCTACTCATTTTGCACCTCTGCTTGTGCTCTTCATTTTTTCCTTTTTTATTCTTTGACATTTCTCCTTTACCGTTCTGAAGTAACGAAGGAATTGAGCTGTTGACGTAAAGACCAATAATTATCAAAAAGAAATTTTAAAGTAGGCAACATTTTATAAAAAACCTGCTGAGATTTCTTCAAATCTAAATTTAGCAACTGCCCCTAGGGTTGAAAAGGAACTAGTACATGTAAGTGTACATAACTTTTACAGACAAGAATTTGATTCCGTAGCTAAAGGCAGTGTTATTTTCTCTACAAGGGAAGAGAAATTTCGTATCTCCAAGCGTCCATGTAATACTAATATTCTATTTATTATATAAACACCAATGAACTACCAAACCATTTCACTTTAAAAGTAATTTGGTATGAAAAGCGCGATTTATTATGTAGCCATAGCAATGGTGATATTTTCACATGTGAAGATACCAAGTTTTCAAGTGAAAGCTCACCTGGTATTTCATTGGTGTTTATGTAATAATAAGTGTTATTATTCATTCAAAATATTTCCCCGATTCTGATTGGCTAAAAGCACACCTATAATTCATCATAACCAGCTACTGATGACCAAATTTGAAAGAATTGTCATTTTAATCAACATTTCACTTCTTTTAAGAGTAAAAACTCAGCGAAATAATAACTAAAAACATGGCAGGAACACAACTCGAAGGGCGACATCTGCTATTTGCGGAGCTGAACAACCCTAAACGTGCACTATCGAAGAAGAACTTAACACTGATGGAGGTAAGCATGTTTTAGCTACATTTTTAAACTAGGAATTATTTTGAATGAATAATTAAACAATTTTTGAATTTGGCTTTCATATCATATGAAGAAAATTATTATGGAGATCTCGGAGGGAGTTATCGGCCGATAACACCCTCCTCGATCTCCACACTTATTCATAAGATACTCAGGCTTATTCATTAATTGTTTATTAATAAGAGTTGATTCATGTAACAACAAACCTTCCATTTGCAGATCAGTCCATGTGCAATTTTCTCCTCCCTGTTCTTTTTTTAGAACTTCTTTTATTTTAGACAAGATGTCCTGGTTCACCTCTGACTGGGGACTGTGACAAAACCAGTATGTTAATTTCAAAGTGAAGGCTCAGTAAAATATCCTCAGTTAAAACAAGACCTAATTCATGTAATAAGTCAATTTTAACTGAAGCCTATCTATGACATTTTACAGTGGACTATTTCCAATTTTATGAACAACTTTTAAAGTTAATGCACATTCCCAGTCTATTCTAATAAGGCTTTACGGCTTGAACTGTTTGCTTCACCAACTTCTTTACATTTTTCAGTTCACTTGTCTTAAATTGAGAGTTAATTATTGCATAAAACATTGAGGATTTTGTGTAAATAACCTTTAAATTCTTTGAGCTATGATTCATATTCTGTCTTGGACAACCAAAAAGCATCAAAAAACACTTTCCAGGCCACTACATTCAAAGTTGAAGAAAATTCAAGGACTTTTCAAGGCCTTTCATAGAATTTCAAGGAAAAAATGAAATTCAAGGACTTTTCAAGACTGTGCGAACCCTACAAATTGAAACAGAAGCATATAACCAATAACCCTGTTCATGGCTTCTGCTTTGAGATCAACCACATCTCGATCATTATCGGTTGCTTCCAACAGAAACTTTCTCCATCGATCTCGTGTTATTCAATGGTGAAATAAATATATGTTCTAAATATATGTTCTCACTTCTTAAATACTAAAATTGGGCGCGAAGGGGAAGACAATGAGGGTTTGTAGGCTCCTGTGATGTTTTACAACACAGGCATGTCGGCGCCTTTGAAGACACGCTATCACACGGTCAGCTCTAAAGAATAAGCACAAACTCTGATCTCTCATGATGAAAAGGTTTTCTTCTAACATCAAAGCAATAAAATACGTACGTAAACCTACCCTTAAATCCATAGGAACTTCTACTTTGGATTCTGCACGTTTACGTTTTGAGCCGCGTTTGGTGTTATTTAGTCTCTCCTGTTTTGAGAGTTCAGTTCGCAACTTGACGTTTTCTTGCTGAAGCGTTGCGTTGTTTTCTTCCAGTTTCTTCTGGCTCGCTAAAAATGAGTCCAATCTTGAGAAGGACTGCATGTAGCCATGATTCGGTTCTAAAAAACGACACTAAAAACCAGGGCAAAAGCTCGCAACGAACACCACAACTTTTCGAAGTGAACTTCTAAAAGACGCTGTCAAAACATTGATCAAACATACCGCGTTTGTAGCTGCGGACATTTTGATTGGCGTTCTATTGCTGACGTATCTTTAACGTCACCAATATCTGATTTGACATGCGTGGTAGAATATTTTTCGCGCATTCGCGCGCGCGTTCGTTCAAGGAGACGGTCGAGTGACTTCTAATAATATGCTGGATTCTACCCCAGAAGTTGTTCTTGTCAGTCACTTCTTCAATTACACATGCCTTGACTTGTAAGTCTTCAACTCTTACTTTCGTGTGAAAAGATTAGTATTATACAGTGAAAAAATTAGGTTATTAGAGGCACTCCTTTTTTGCTCTAGCTGAACAATTTAGCTTAGAAGTGTTTTCAGTGTTCATAAGCTGGCACCATTTTAATTTTTGTGCCCCTTATTCCAAAATGGCAGAAAATTTTAAGCCAAAGGCCAATTCAATTGTATGCATGGATGGAGAAGGATAATTTCTTGTAAGGGATTGGGGAAAAGAGTGTGCAGCAGACTTAACTAGGCTTAAAAGAGGCTTCAATGGACTTGGAATAAATTCTGGAAAAGATTTAATAACATAATTATAAATAATAAAAGTATTATTATTAAATTATCATATCAATAATAATTATGATTTAATATTTTTTTTACTTTAAATCAATAATGCACGACTTAATCTGGTATTAAATTTTTGGCATATCCAAGAAAACTTTAATTTGTCTTATATTTTTCAGTCCGTTTATAATTAATGATATATTTAAGAAGACTTAAATTTGTCTGAAATCTTTCAGTCAATTTAATGGTATATTTAAGAAGACTTTAATTTGTCTTAAATCTTTCATTCCGTTTAATGACATATTTAAGAAGACTTAAATGTAATTAAATCCTTACCGTGATTTAAGGATGTTTAAAGTGACTTAAATATATCTTAAATATAAAGCTAGTTTTAATATGCATTTAACTTAAACGTAAACATGACTTAAAATAAACTTTGCTTTTAAGTCATGTTTAATATCCTTAAATCTGACTTAAAACTATCTTCAAATTTAATACTTATTTAATNTAACAATCGTGAGACAAACGATTAACGAAACCCTGAACCCTTGGGGGATATGTCAGTTACTCAAAATTAATTACTCCCTCACCCACATCTAGAATATATGAAGTAATATAATGTTGCCTTAGAGATCTCAAGCATAGGCCGAGTAAGAGGTAAAACAAACGAAAGAAATCCAAACGAATGCCCTGAAATGCACTCATCACTAGAAAATTCAGTTAACCGAACGTTTCCTAAGGAAGTTCGAAATCAGTAACTATCGAAATCTTGTCTCATTTGGAATTAAAACCAAAATCCGCGAACTTGATCTTTTAGTGTTATTAATTGATCGTTACAGTTACTCGGAATGCTTTCTTTGTAAAATCTTAATTATTTATTATCTGATATTTTACTTTATTTATCATATTTGTCCACATTAGCTGTATAAGCTTCCACTATTGACCTGCTAACCAAATAAACCATGTATGTATGTAGTTATTTATTATCATAGATACATTTACCCCCCGGGGGGTAGTTCTTGGAATTCTTGGTGGGTGTGTGCATAGGGGAACCACACAATCTGTGTGTGTAACTGATTGTTTTTTTTTTTTTTTATTATAGTAAATTGTATTGGATTTACCATTTGCTTGACCTATAGCGATATAAATCAGTGTTAAATTAGCTAACCTGTAGTATATTGTCGTCCTTTTGCCTCAAAAGCGGTTTTTTTGAGCGAATTTGAAGGATTTTTAGCTTGCCGTTTACTATTCGGCTTATAATAGAAGGAACCGGCCGGTGAACGGCAAACTCAAAATCGCTCAAAAAACCGCTTTTGAGGCAAAAGGACGACAGTATACCACAGGTTATTAGGTAATTCAACGTTTATTTAACATTGAGTTATATACATTAACTTATCGCTATAGATCAAGCAAATAGTAAATCCAATTCATTTACTATAAAATAACAATCGGTTGCACTCACAGGTTGTGTGAGCTCCCTTTGGTGTGTGCCGTCTTGTTCTCCAAATCGTGACCCTATCCACTTCGAATTTGTATATTACTCTTCCTTTCTCAGTATTCATTTTTTGAACTGAAATAATAAATACACATTCCCGTAGATCCATCGAAAACGATACCCGATTCCAGACCAAAATGGACAAAATGTATACCCCTTTTCAGACCAAAACGGCTGAGAAAAAATATATATATCCTTCAGGGCGGCACATACCTATATGGCTTATATAAGGGAGCTCCCCCCGGGACATTTACAGTAGAGGAACTCTAGATCAGAATGCTTTCTAGCACTTCAATGACTTATCATTCTGTATTCGTTTATTATGCTGCATATATACCATATACAAGTACCTTTAAAGTTAAACTATTGATTTTGTGATTAATATTTTAAGTAATTTAGCTTAAGTCTCTAATTTCCCCAATAAGTGATTCTATTGTACTACTCAGTAATGACTATAACACTTTAATAACTGAATTCCTAATTCTTAAGTTGAACGTTAACCAAACGTTGAGCTGACGTGATCTTAGTCTTCCAACTTCCTAAACTCCCGTGGATTATTATAAAATCGAATCATGTTACATTGCTTTTGGCGATCTAGCAGATCAAGGTTAATTTTAGTTTCTTCTTCATCAGACAAACTTCTTGTGCGTTGGCGTGGCTTAGCACTGTTTACTTTAGTAATGGGTTTTTTAAAAGCAAATTAGCAAAAATTAGTTCAGCTTGAATTCGCCTGCGTAGCAAGTGTTTCCAATCGCGAAAGTTGAAACGACAATCTTTTTTGCTCGCTCGCTTCGTAGGCTAAAATTCAGCTGTTCAGCTTATTAATTGCTTGGCTATTGGCTTATGAAACGGCCGTTTGTCATTCTGGCTCGTGTGGGTGAGTGAGTCCTCATAGAAATGTAATACCCAGTACTTACGCGGATGATTCGTAATTCAGTGTACTTCAGTGCTTTGTAAAATTAAGGTTACGTAGATATGAAATTCTTTCGCAATGGCTAATAAATTTTAAAAAATCACAAAGTTAGGGAAACGGACAATCATTTGAGAGCTCTCCGCTGTTCTTCCCTTATTTTATCATATTTTATCGGTATGTGACATTTCGCGTTGGCGTGGTAACGGCTATCATATAGTTTCAACAACGAACTCGGAACCTTTATAACCAGAAAATACTCTGTCTAATCACGCGTTTGTAATTAAGTATAAGTGGATCCAGTGCAGAAAATTCAGAAAGGGGTGATCGGGACACTTGCCAGCTATACAGATACTTTTTATTCTACTGAGAATTCTATAAAAACATCTCAGAAAAAAGGGGTGGCAGCGGTTCCCTCAGCCCGCACCACCCCATAAATCCGCCCATGTTAATGCGGACTGACAATTAAACAGCAATCACTAAACCGGACGCGACGAGGAGCATTTTAAAACAACCATAATTTGTTTGTAAGGAACAGTTTAACAATTGTAAAAAAGAAAAGATTGTGACCCCCACTTTGTAAGAGCCCCTCGGCCCTGATTCGTTTTCTCTTTCCGAAAAATGCTAGAAACGTGAAAAACCAAAGTTCATGTTATATCTGAAATTGACTGTAATGCTATTGACGCTATTTGGGACTGCTGGGATACAAGATTAACAAACAAAAAAACATATTTATTTTGTGCCTTTAAAAGGATTGTTTTAAGGTTTATAATTCTTTATCATATTACCGTTTAAGTGAAACTAATTCAAAGAAGACTAATTGAAATTACGTAGATGAACCTTTTAGCGAATTGAAAAACTGAATAAAACAACAGTGTTGACTCCCGATAATTCGAACCCTCGCGCCAACTCGAACCCAAATCGATTTCCCCTGTAGCCCATCAAGTGTTTTGAAGAGAAGATGGCGATGTTTTTCAATTCATATTCTTATTACGAGACAAAACTGGAAGCACTGGACCTGTGAGGAAAGATTCCCATGCAGCAGTAAAATTTATACATGCAGGTCAAAAGGAGAATGTTGCGCGTCTTTCTTGCGCCCACTACTTCCAAGTGCCTGTTACGCAGGCTATCAAATGGCTAAGGATTAAGATAGTTTATGTTCCTTTGAAGTTTTCTAGCTTTCTATGATAACTAATAAAAATGATTGAAGAACGGGCATACAAATAAGAGGGAAGCCAATGGCTAGGTAATTTTTGTTTTTCTTTTGTTTTGGGGTATGATAACCACGACATAGATTTGTCTGGTGGCCTGTTAGTGAAATTAATTTAAGTTGCAATCTATGTTTATGGTGCTATGATCAATTGGTCCACTCTGATAAAGAAATTAATGCAAACGTACATCGTCACAGTCTCTGGGAATATTCTAAACGTTTCCATTGTTCATTTGAATTGCATTTGACACCTCATATGACGTTATCTATCGAAACCTGTATTAGGCGGACACCCTGTATAAAGCGGACACTACAGCATTCCACGAGGGTGTCCGCTTAATCATTACAGGTTTCACTGTACAAGACTCAATTACACGAGAGTTCACAAGAAAATAGCCTGCGTGGCAGGCGTTTGAAAAGGGATCCCTTCCCCTTCTTTTTCGAACGCCTGCCACGCAGGCTAACAAGACCTAAGGATTTATCATGATATGTAATTATGACAGAAGGGGAAATTAAATGAAGATGTAAAATTTGCTAAGCTAATAAATTCGGTCCTTCAGATGTAATGTGCAGTGTAACATTGAAAACATTCACTAGTACATCTAGTCCTACTATCTGAGGGAATCCTTAACAAAAAGACATTGCTATGGGCTTACAAAGTGTTTTCAGTGCGGTAAGTACGCTTTTAAAGAAAAAATCAATGCTAGTACATACTTAAGAAAATGTACAAGTTACAGTTTAAT